GCCAACAACGTGCAGGTGGTTCCCAAGGACAAGAACCCTCCCAACACGCCAGAGCTCCGCCCAATTGAGAAATACTGGGCTATTGTCAAGCGGAACCTAAAGAAGACCAAAAAAACTGCTAAGGGCGCGCAGCAGTTCAATGCAAACTGGCTTTCTGCGGCGAAGAAGGTGGACAAGGTGGCTGTACAAAATCTAATGGCAGGGGTCAAGCGTAAGGCCCGGCAATTCGGATTTGGAAAAGCGGAAGCCTAACTGAATATTTTTCCTGAATTTTATACTAATTGAACTTGAAAAATAAATTTAATTTGATTTTTTAAATAAACGATTTCACCGATTTACACGCGTTTTCCCTTGACCAAATTTTGACCGTATCACCCTTTAATGGCGCAAAAGCCATAAGTCATAAAAGGCTAGGACAAGAGTTAGTGCTCATGCCCCAACCATCAGAAGAAAATGGAGCATCACTTACTCTTTCTAGCTTTGATGCTTCCAACGACCAACCAATCATATAATTACCAAAATCGTACGGAACGTACGGTACCCGATGTTTTCTAAATCATCTTGCCCCTTAAATGCTGCACAGTAGACCTGACCCTTTTGATATGTGTGACACATTTTCGATGGGAAACATATATGAAATAGACAAGAAAAATGATGTAGGTATAAAGATATCATTTTCCAGGATGCTTTCAAGAACTGGCCGTGTTGGTGTTAGATTAGATTGTTTAATTCAATAATAAAAAAAAACAACAACATTATTGCACGCAAAACTATTTTCTCTTACATCGAAAGTAAGGCTGGATTTATTACATTGCATATGTTTCATTCAACTAATGTAATGGCTATTCTTTCAATGGACTGCAGCGTACAAGCAAGTTTTTCAGGATGCATATTTTTGTATAAAACCTTAATGAGATGATTTTCTAGCCGCAACGCATTTTGGGAAAACAAACTTTGTTCGAAAAATATGCTAACATAAAAATTACAAAATTACAGAATTTGTTTTAATGTCGTGAAACATTGCAAATTCTGCATACTTTTCACGCAAATCAGTAATATAATCTAGCCGGCGCCGGTGGTGTAGTGGTAAGCGTGACTGCTTTCTAACACCCCGATGGGTCTGGGTTCAATCCCAGCCGAGGTCGGTGGGATTTTTCTGAGGCATAAAAATCTCTGGTCACGTCTTCCTTCGGAAGGGAAGTAAAGCCGTTGGTCCCGGCCCATGTGTGTTGAATGGGTGCGATATCCTACGCAGGTGTGGAAGCTGCCTTCCTGCACATTCGATTGCCGTCAATGGATGGCAATCGATGTCCGTCGGTGATTGGCACTAGATTGCGGAACAGAGACCGACGTTAAATAAAGGAAAAAGAAGAGTAATATAATCTTTCATTTCCTGGTCCATTTCCTCTCCTGTAGCTCAGTTGGGTAAGACACAGCTACAATGCAAAACCATGCTGGAGGCGAATGGGTTCGATTCCCGGTCCGGTCTAGGGATTTTTCAGGATGACCACAGACAAACAGCCATAACACATTAAATATTTTTCACTGTAAAACATCGTCGCTGAAACATTACCGCCATCTGTTGAGTACACTGAACAGTAGCAGAGATGCCAGATCTTTTCTCAGAAGTCTGCTAAAAATGTCTGTGAATTTTACAAATGTCTGTAATTGGGCTGCATAAAATTAGCAGAAGTTTTGCGTGTGATCAAGAAGGAAGGGGGTAGGGTAGGTTGGTCATGAAATAGATACGAAATTTGAAATGTCTGTAAAAGTCATGTTCGAGCAAAAATGACCTGCTTTTAATGAATTGAACCTAATTGGAATTGGGAATGCCGTAAACGTTTAAAGCAATTAATAAAAAAAATAATTACGATTACACGACAAATGAGGTCAACTCAAATTTAAGATTAGTTCACTCATATTCTTAAAAACGTAGTTAACTCAGAGCAACACTTCCCAAGCTTTTACAGAAATTTGTTTTCTAATATGAGCAACATCTCGATGTACATATGAAATTAGTACACGGAAAAAAAGTTTTCATGTAGTTTCTATTGGGATGCACATCATATGTTTCCATTAACAAAACCAATGATATCTATCTGAATTTCACATAACATGAGTTCTATATGGTTTTGTTTTGTTAATTACTTTATTTGTACAGGCTCGATTGAATAAACTTTACAGAGCCAAGTTATAATTTTCTTTATACATTATATATGTCTTAAATCTAAAATTAAAGTATTGGACCGATTACTCGCGGTCTTCTCGAGGTAAGCGGATCACAATTGTTTGGATCGCGAGAAGGGAAAGGAGTTCTATATGATAAATCACTTAAATGTCATTTGACACATAAGGTTCATGTGACTTTGTGGTACAATTCCAATGAATATTTTCCATTGGACATGTGATTTCTTCTTTTAGTGTGTACTTCTAAAATGAGTAAATTTTTCGTTGATTTTTGTCATATTCGTAAAGATTTATGAGACTCAGAAAATTTTACTCATTTTACAAGTAAACTACGTTTTCTAGAGTTTGAGTAATTTATCTTAAATTTGAGTCGATTGTATATGCCATGTAGTGTGCAAATCCGTTAGTAACTAAGTACTGGTTCTTTTGCACGCCAGCAGCGTGGGAACGAGCACATCATAGTGAGAGATTCAACTTTTCACCACCTAAATATTGAGAAATCGACCATAAAAAGAGCCATTTATAAGCTTATTAATACGATTCTAAACACTTCGTGCTCAGAAAGTTCATGTTCAGACTCTGGAATGAAACAATATTTGCCCGGAGATTTGGCAACAGAATTGATGGCCAAACGTGACCAAACCCAAGACCAAACGATAGGTGCCATCGATGCTGATCTTCACTGGATGCCTGATATTGAGGAAGTCTGTTGAGATAGCGATGGAAATTAGTAATGACCTTGGAAATATCGGAGACTTCCCATTCGTGGCATATGCGTTTCCGTACTTCCTATAATGTGTTTAATGCGCTATACTATAACCTCAAAATTTCAAGAGCACAGCTGCCACAAAACATACAACAATGAAACTGGAACTTCACATTTGATGCAGCAGACAGGGAGTTCCAATTTCATGAGTGATGTCACAGCTGTGTCTGAAATTTGTTCTCTAGAACACTTGAAGTGATAGGGAATTTCAGCCATCATCAGGCGATTTGTGGGCTCTTCAAGGAATCACCATTAATGATTTTTGATCATACGATTTTCGAACAGATTTATCAACCAACAATCCTAAATGGTGGATCAGCAAATATGTAATGATCTTATCTTACAAATTGAAGCACACCAACGCAAATCAATTCCACCATCGAATGGGAGAGAATTTTCCCTAGCCGACGGTGTAGTTGATTTGGCAAGGTGAGCAAATCGAGAAAAGATCATTACAAGATTTGATTACAAAAGTTGATCCGTCTTTTAGAATTGTTGGTTGAGATTTCACGACGTTCCTTTCGTATAAACAAATGGGTGTCATCGTTACCTGTCATGATACTTATAGAAATTTTCCCCTGTCTGAAAGTGGTGCTAGTATACGTATGCGAGCTACCAGTTACGACAAATCAACGATCAGTTAAGCCAAATCGACGTTTTTTCCTAAAATAGCCTATAACCTTTTTACTGCGATAATAACAAACAAGTTTCATGGATATCGGAAAAAATCGCGTCTGATCGATCCGTCATTTGACGTGGAACTGCTCAGTAGGGACTATTTCTAATTTATATAAATTATTGAATTTCAAACAACACTTCCTCATAACAGTCAACAGTGCTCTGAGCTACCGTTAAAATCATCCCAAGAAAGGCACGTCAGTTAAAAGAAAAAAAATGATGCCACATATTTAGAAGCAACTGCTATCATCAATTAGGAATGCTTTGGTAAGGAAGAAAATACCTGTCTGCTGTGTCTGACCACTTGGCAGATGGTACACATTAGAGACTGACACTTGACCATTTTTCTTCAGGAATAAAACAAAAAGTTATGCCTTCTGCTCCGGGTACAATATGAATTCGAACGAAGGAATGGGATAATTCAATTATCTTCTTACCGAAAGAGTCTCTCGGGAAATTAAAACTTTAGGTATTATATTTCTCATTGGCACCTGCGTACTTGTTAGGAAAATAATAGAAATGTTTACTCTGATTGATCATGCCGATGACACACACGTATCAAATTTGATTCAGAATTTATAAAAGGTTTCTTCTTGAACCATGAACCATCATACAGTTCCAATTCACCAATGCCAAACATCTAACCGACTTACTTTCAGTAATGAATCATGCACAGAGGCAAATACTCTATCCGGCTCACCACTAATCAAATAATCACGCCAAATTGAGGCTCGTCCATTAAAGCCGCACAGATTCGCTAATTTCCATTTTCCGAGTCTACTCATAGAAAGCGAAATCTCATCGCTCTAACTAAAAAAAATAATATAGCAGCCAGCATCGCGATGTTGATCGCACGCATTCTCCGGGTTTCCCTCGCTCATCTTTGTGCTCTGTCCGAATCAATGCGCACCACAATGGTACCGGTACATGAAATTATATCCGAAAGCTCTTCTCTTTCGGGTTGTGCTTCTTCCCCATGTGGTGGAGCAACGCAGCGCCAATTTTCAAATATCTTTATAAAACCAACGCGATCTCCGCAGAAAACCTCAGTCCCTGATTGACTGATCCGCAGCTCAGAACACTTTTCTCCCTTCAGATTCGCGATCGCGCGTGCAAGTATAGAGAGCCATCCTTGCCAACAAGCTGGAAAGCGACAAGGCAAGAAGGATAAACACATAAAGAGCAAAAGAGCGCAGATCCTCTTCGTAATTCAGTTCTCTTGGTGCGTCTCCGTCCACCCTTTCATCCGTCCGTCCGTTGTAGTTAATTTCGCAAACTTGAGCTGAAACCTGCGCGCGCCCTCCAGATATATCCACTTCTGCTGCACACGGTGTGTTTCACACAAACTTGATCCGCCACACCACCCGGGACTACTGACTCATTCAGCAGCGAACTTGTGCCGGTCTTGCGACGAGTGCCGAGTCCAGTCCTACCTGACAGAAATTGCCAGCCCAGAGCGAGAGAGATCATTTAAAGGCAGCTGCAATCAGTGCTCGATCAATCATTGAGCCGTGAACGTGACATTGAACGGATCTGGCGCGATATTCTCCCAGCCAACGACCTCCGAAGAAGTAATAGGAAGAGTTCGCCCTCGCAAAAAGTGCTACCAGTGAATCTTGTTTGAAGTGTGTGCCAGAAGAAATTTCGAAAGCTTTCAGTCAACACTTTCCGCGCTGTAACAAAGCGAAGACGAGCAAAGAGAAAAAAAAAATGAAGTGCCTAATCTTCGCAGTTTTGGTCATTGCTTTGATGGTCGAGAATAGCGGTAAGTGCGAATTATCCATCTTTCTGTGTTGAAGCTAACCTGCCCCTCACAGGGGGGAGCGCGGGTCCGCAGTGATTGCCGGTGATTGGGTTGCCACTGACTGTTCAAAAGTGATATCTTGGTGTTTTCGGAGGAAGCTAGAGAGAGCGAGTTTCCATGGGACCCCCCATCTACGTACCCCCAAAAATCAGTAATGAAAAAGAAAGAAGCTATCGTAAAAAGCGTATTGTATGTGCCGGACGTGTTCGCGAATTGAACACACACAAAAAAATAATATAAAAGACCTGCCAAGAAAGTGTCGTGTTTAGTGTCAATCCCATCACAAGAAGAAGGCCGGAAAGATTAACGGTTTCGAGAGTGGTGTTTTTATTAATTTACTGAGGCTGGCCTCCGGCGGGTCCCACAAAAAAAAACCGGGGAGCCAAATGTAAACGATGATGAATGTATTGGAAAACAATGAGTAGGATTAACGTCATGGGAAAAGTGGAAACCGTGAACCGGATTGAAAATAGGTTCTAATACACTTCCTGCCGATGAGTGGAGACATTAGTTGCTATTTTGTGATTCTGTAGCGCATCTGGATGAAAACGAAAATCTTGACGTTTGTGGGAAGTGATGAGACAATGCAACCAGTTCGTGGTGGACACACTTTCGCTTATTAGCAAATCGCTAATAACGAAGCTAATCGATCGTTGGGGACTTAGCACCGATATTAAATGTTGAAGCATTTAGCGATACGGTTAGGTTCGTCAGTGCAACATGAAAACAGCAGCAATTGCAGCAACTCGATTGTGACCTAAATAATTTAAAATAAATATGTGTGACACGTGCGCTACTGGTGTAGTTTTGCAACTTGATTTTATTATTTTGTTTAATTAATCAAAACTCACCCTTTCTGCATCTGTCAAAATGTGTAATTTTGCTACCTTGAGGCTTTTGATAATCCTTGATGTGTGATATTTTCACATTGATTTTCACAAGAAACTGAAAACTATCTATTCCGACGTTTTTAAATCTATGAATCGACCCACCGGTGGGTCACGGTTTGTCTACAGATGAATCACAGAAATTCAGGAAGTTTGGTTCCGATTTTTTTAGTATTTATGAAAAATTAATCTTATAATGAGATTATGTAGTGATAATCCAAATTAGGCAATCATTCACATTATTGCTAAAATTCGGCCAATTTGGATCTCTCAGTTTTTTAAATTGCGTATTTGACATTTTTCAATAAGTCGTAGTATGAAAACATCACTTCTAATCGAAATGACATCTGAGACAAAATGATTGAGAAAAGTATATTCATTCTAGGAAAAATATACAAAAAGTGTTATAAACTTTAATATCTCAAAATGTCCTTGTTCGATTTTTTTTTTATAGTTTGAGAATAAAAATTAATCGATTAAACCTCGGACACTTAAAATGTACAAAACTCTTTGAGCAGGAACATTTAATAAAAATTTTGAACTTTTTTTCAGTGCAATTATTTTATTATTAAAAATCTTTAAAAAGTCATCAATACAGTACCCAATTTTGTGATTGTGTGAGCCCTTTTTTGAAAACCTCTACGAAACTACATTGCATGAATGTATAACTTAAACATCCACCTCTAAGATGAATAAGAAGGATTTGGAAGTACGGTTTTGTGAAATTATTGGAAGGTTGATCAACTAAATCAACTAGAATCCAGGAAAACAAAGACCTCTGAACCCCTGATGGTCTTTGGAATATTTTTGGAGTTACCTTGCATCATCAGAGAATATCCGAGATGTGTGATTTGAATTGATGAACAGTTTGAGATCTTTAGTACAATAGGATAGAGACCTACTTCTGCCTAATGACCCATTTTGGGCCTATCGAGCAGAAAACTTCAAATAAATCCATGATTTCAGAGTTAACAAGTCAATTATGCGTTTGGTACGATACTTTAGTTAAAAAGCTACCGAACGAAGTCATGAATGTTTGCACCCATTATTCTCAAAAAAAAAAGAAGCGCTTCTACCGAATCAATTTTTATCTTCATCCTATAGGCCGAAGTGAATTCAAATTTGAATGGCGTTTCAATGCAATAGGTCGAATTTAGAATCCATAGGCCGAGTTTGAGGTCAAGAAGCAGTGTTAGATTTTTTTAAATACCTCAACAATTTGATCCTCTTTATCAAGTATTACGGTACGTACGGAAAGGTTAATAAATTTAGAAGTCATCTGCAGTGCAAACATTCCATTTCGTGATAAAAATTGACTCAAAAAATAGGAGCAAGGGGAGGGCTGTGCTTAGAAGGCCCAAACTTAGATCTAAGCCCTAGTACCTGATCAACCTGATGCCTTGAAAAAATATCCAGACGATTTGCTGGAGATCTTAAAAAAACATGAAAGAGGAATCATTTCCAAGCTGCCGTGTTTCATAAGAGAGACAATCTGAGAGATCTTCTTCTTCTTTTTTCGCATTTCAAAATTATTGCTTATCGCATATTACCTTATTGCGTGCTCTCAACTTAGTGTTGTAAATGCACTTCCACAGTTATTAATTGAGAGCATTCGATGTCGATACCAATGCATCAATTTGTATATTGTGTGACAAGCACAATGATACTCTATGCCCAAGGAAGTAGAGAAAATTTCCTACCCGAAAGATTCCCTCGACCGGCTCGGGAGTCGTATCCACCGCCTCCGGCTTGGTAATACCGTGCCTTTACTAAATAGGGTATAAGGCTTCCTAAATCTAAGAGATACTGTATGGATTATAGAATACTTGGATATCTTTAGAATGATATCTGATCAATCTGAAATTAAGAGAACAACAAAACATCCTGAAGTTTTCAAGATGATATCTTATCACTTAGTGTTATTTTAAATAAGTTCTGAGCAACCTGGAATCTTTAAAAATATTTTGGAAATGTGATTAGAATTGTTGGCCAGTTGAAGATCTTCGGAATGATACCTGATTACGCTGAAGTCTAATACAAATATGTTGAGGATATTTTGGAGATCATCACTTGGACGTCTTTTGAATAATTTCTGAGCAACCTGGTATCTTCAAAAAATGGGTAGATTCGTTCAAAAATCTGCCACTAAGTGGGGTTTGCATCCATTAGAAAAATCTAAGTTTACTATATCCAAAATCCGGACTCTTTGTCACCGGCATGCATGGAAAATCATTTACATTCATTTCATGCAATCATTTACATTCATTAGCCTCTAACTTTTTTCATCAACAGAATTCCGCAAAATAATGTATAAAGCTTTAGTAGGTTTTGTTATTAGCTACAACTTTCGCCCATAACTCAAATCTGTATCTCTTATGCATCACAAATTAGAGCGGGCAGAACTTGTTGCTGTTTTTCAGTGAATGTAAAATACATTCACTGAAAAACAGTAGTGGCTTCTGTTCGCTCTGGTTCGTCATACATAAGTGATACGGATTTGAGTTGTTAACAAAAATTGTAGTTACTAACAAAAACTACAAAAGCTCTAACATCATTTTGCGGAATTCTGTTGATGAAAAAAATTAGGAGCAAATGAATGTAAATGAATGCACGAAATGAATGCAAATGATTTTCCATGCCTGGTCACCGGAAATAAGGTTAAAGTTACCAAGGCCTTCTGGATGGTGAATATGTATGTTTGACTTTCAGTGTGTGCTGTGAATTTTAAACTAATATCTCGACAGCAACTTCCCAGGTGGCAGGAATCTCTAGGTATAGTCCATTTTGGTTGCTCATATGAACACCAGCACCGTGAGTGAATTTTTAACTAATCTGTCCACCATGTAGAAGGCCTTGCGGATGGCCAGCGAACCGGGAAACCAGACAATTTATCTGGAAAACCGGGAAAAACCGGAAATTCAAAGTATATATCCCTGCTCTAATCCGGATGTAATGTGCATGATTCTTAAAGTAAACATAGTAAATAGTAAAGTAAAGTGAACATCGAAACATATCCAAACAATTTCCGGGAATTAATTTGTTTGCGGTTTCAAATTAAAATAATCATGCAGTTATTTTCTGAACTCCCATAATATTAGATTCAGATACCATGCAAAATTATCATGGCGTTGTTCATTAAACTACCAGAAAACTCTACACGAAATACCATGCGGTTCACTTTGGAATTCATCTCAGCATTTTCTTCGAACACTTAGAAAAACTCTTCTAAGAATTCCTTCAGAAGTCTCTCTGAGAAAAATCTTGGTATTCTCCTCAGAACTCCTTTGGAATTTTCTTGAAACTTTCCAGAGAATATCTTCTTAATTTTGCTCCTTTTGTTGAAATTACCCAACAAACAATTTGAACTGATTAAAAGCTGAATAAGCTAAAAAAAATGCTGAAGAAACTGAGTTTTGCATGAACATGAAGCTCTTGTTAAACTTTCAATGTATGTTGGGTAACCTCAGTTCATTATTCTTTTGGTATATTTATCGAAATTCCCTTGAATTATGTTCCCCTAAATTATGTTTACATTTCTCTTTGAATTCTCATAATAATTCTCTAGGGATACTCACTGGCTTAACTTAGTAAAAATCCTAGGGGGAGCTAAACTTATTTTTCGAATTGCTCAATAAGGCAATTAGCGAACAACTACACATCTAGTAAGGAAAATGTGTATTTGTGGTAACAATTCAAGAGTGGGCTACATTAATCCTAGGAGTCTAAACCCCCTTCTAGCTCCCCTGTAGTTACGCCAATGGGGATATTCGTTAAAATTACCCCGTTGTTTTCCTCAAAATCCCTCCTTGAAGTTCTCCTCACAACTCCCTTGGAATTATTTCAAAAATAACAAATCAATTCAATCTTTTTAATTTGTCGAACCTCTTAACGGAATCCCTTTAAGAAGAGCTTTGAGTGTGTTGGCTTATTTCCTATTAGTTCAAATAAAATTACTTATAATTTGACAGATACGCGTATTTCGTCTACTACTGATGAAGTCTGCAAGTAGTAGACGAAATACGCGTATCTGTCAAAAGATAAGCAATTATAACGGAATTTAAAGGAAATATACCA